CTTAAAATCTTTCTTCCATCCCTGGGGTTTACAAGTTATTCACTTGGAAACATTCTTAAAATGAATGTTTTCTTGTTTGTGAGCAAGCAGATAACACAGCAACCAAGGACCTGCTCTTAAGCATGTGGAAATTCTCCCCACTTACCTGTGCTATGAATAACAGCATCTGAAGTAAAGAATTGAGAAGCACTGCAAGGCTGCTAGATTTATTCTTAGCACTCTGAATTAACTCTTAATAGCCCTAGAATTACAAAAAATTATTTCTCACAGAAACTTAAAGCAAACATGTATGTATGTTGCTTAAATTAATGTAATTACTATAAATTTCTATATGAAACGCGTATGTATGTTGCTTAAATAAATGTAATTACTACAAATTTCTATATGATCTCAGATTATTTTTGATTTTGAAATGGGAGATTTTTCATTTACAAGCTTATGAAAAATTAAAAATTACTTCTAAAAATTGCACCTATCCATAAACATTACAGTAATACTTGTCAAAGAAATAAGAAAGACTATGAAGAGAGAATGAATAGGATTTTATAAAGTGGTAATTAAGACTAGTTAATATACATCTAGAAGAGTTCTGGCTGGGCATTTGGCATGTAATGATAATAAGAATCTAAAATTATATGTATACATATATACATATGTTTATTTGCATGTATTTGTAATCTCAGACAGACAAAATCCAAATAAAGTTAATTATGCCATGATTCTTTTTCACATGTGCCATGAGACACGGAGATCTGTTAAAAACCAACATGATTTATTTATTATTAATGCTAGTACTAATATTCATTGTCATTGACTTCCTTCTAACTTACGTATCACTGATCATCTGTTCTAAGTAATTTGTGAGCAATTTTGCATGTTCCCAAACAAGGAATGTTGTGAAAAGAGATGATCCCATTTAGTCACTGTTTAAACTGGGGGTTAGTTTTTCCTTGTAATTGATTATGTCTAGTTAGGATAATGGAGCAGTTATAGACAATGTCTTTCTTTCATTTTCTGTGGTATGAAAGTGACTAACTTGTTGAAACTCAGCCCTAGTATTGTGTTACTATTATTGTTCCTAGAGAGGCTTATTAGACTGTCACCAAAGATGTAAGAAAAACCCAACATTCCTTTTGGAATTGTCACCCACAATGTAGTTAATGCTAAGAATAGAAAGAATGGCTATGATACGAGTCTGATTAGGCAGAGATGAGCTATTGTCCAAGTAACAGGAACTAATCCAGTGGGCCAAAGATGACCTACCCAGAACGATCAGTTTACTGATTGCCATTTCTCTCTGAGTTTGATGAAATATTCAAACCTTTGCTCTCCTCTCTGCAAGCACTATTGATTTCTTGTATAAACGCTGCTATATTTAGTCTAGACAAATGGAATGTGGATTGCTGCTGAATAAATTGGATGAAAGACTGGGATCTTGCCTGCCGCTTTCTCTCAGTCTTGGGCAATTATTTATAATCAAGAGCAGTTTTTGTAAGTTGAGGGTGATTTTTCACAATTTAGTGATTAGTCTGTGAACAAAGGCAAGCAGTTAGACACAATCATTTCTGTTGGGATAGCAGGTTAAGAAGCCAAATTACCCTTTGAGGTTTACAATAACTGTTACAGAGAGTTGTGGGGTTTTTTTCCCTTATCTTTTTGTTATTTGAAAATATTTTAAGGGTTTGATGTTTTAGTTAGATGGACAATAGGAATGCAGGTAAGGAGAAACTCTAGGGTCTTTTGAAATTTTACATTTTGTCTTTAGAGTTAAATTCTGAACTTTGCTTTTGGGGGTTTCCATGCAAAAACTGAAGACTACAATTTGACAGTTTTAATTAAAAAAATGAAATATGTCATTTACAGTCATTGCTTTTGGTGGGAATTATGCCATCTCTTTAATTTAGTGCTCAAAATCTCATGTTACTACAGAAGCTTGACTGAAGGCTCTCCCTTTGGCATTACAGCTAGGAGATCTTACAGGCCATCATCTTCACTGAATGTCAAACTTGTCACAATTAATTTCTTTTCTTCACAGATACCATGTTTTAGAATACATTACCAAACTATAGTTTATTAGCAACTTTCTTTCCCATTTTCATTAAAGTGTCACCTAAAGTACCACCAACACAAGCATATGATCAATGCCTAGAAAAAGAGTCAGTGTAGGCAATGAAGATTGATGTCAGTCTACATGCATGTGCACACACACTTCAAATGACAGGCAAGGCACTTAGCCCTTTAGGATGTGAAGCCTTATCTATGGACAGAATTTCTGATAGGCTTTCTTAACTCACTGAAAGTAGCTCTTAAATCTACATGGAATATTAACTATGTAACTGCCCAACCTGGAATCTTTAAATCTAAACTAGAGACTTATAGAGGTAGGCAGAATATTAGTTGAAATTTTGGAAAGTGGAAGTGGGAGAATCAGTCATATTTTCATCTAAATTACAGTGATTCTCTTCTCTGTATCACCAATCTTTGCTGTTATATTTCACCAACTTGTTTAAAAACCTGGGTGAGGACAAAAATTGCTGTCTTTTTTTTTTAACTACCAAACCCCAATATCTAAAATGAAACCTGGAGTTTTAAGGGGCTCAGTAAATGTATATTGACTTAGTTATGTTGATGGGGTTTAAGTGGTTATCATAGTATAAATGCCACTTTTTATTAGTTTTTCATTGAATGTTGTAACAGCATTTTAAATGTTCTCATAAACATTATTTTTCGCAATTGCATATTTTTCTACCAAATGGATGTGACATGTTTTTCTTAGACATTTTCTTGTAGTTAGTGATTTCAATTATAATAAAAGTAATACTCCAGTAAGCAATATGGCATTGAACTGTTTTTTTCTCTCATTAGTATTGTCTCTGGAGGATTTATTTCTAAAAGTGGCAAACCCAAATCAAATGGTAGAACTCTTTAACACCTCTTGATACATTATCACCAAATTGATTTTGGAGGCATTTTATGCCAATTGTCAGTACCTCTTGTAATAAACAATTCTATATATTATATGCTTATGCTACATAGTGGATATTATGCATAGACAGAAGTCTATACATGAATCATGTAAGTTATACTTAATAATTAGATATAGCTGCTTTATTTTTATCAATAAATTTGCATTTCTTTACAAGTGAAGATGATTTTCAGTTGCTGAGTTGTATGCTTTCCTTTGTTTTCCTAAATGATTTTATTTTATAACTTTAGCAGAACTCTATTTACTATTTTATGTTCACATGTGGTCCTTGTATTTTCGTTTTGTTCACTACTAAATATTGATTATTTTAATATTCAGTAAATTTTCATTTTTGTGTGATAAAAAAACAGAAACAAAATTTTTAAGTGCTATTTGCTGTGAATACTTTGAATCAGTGAGACTTTTAACAACTTTGTTGTTGTTACTATAATTATCTCCATTTTACAGATGAGGGAACTGAAGCCTAGTTGAGTTAACATACTCAGGGTCGAATAGGTAGAAAAATGGGAATATGCATTTTGGTTTTAAAACAACAGAAGAAAACTAGAATACTGTGTGTCCAGTTACCAGAGCATTTAACACTTTTGGATAATTTTTCAATTAAAAATCGATTATTATTGCTGGATGTGGTGGCCCATGCCTACAATCCTAGCTACTTGGGAGGCAAAGATTAGGATGATTGTGATTCAAGGCCAGCTTGGGCAAAAAGTGAGATGCCGTCTCAACCAATAAGCCTAGTACATGCCTGTTGCCTAGCTCCATAACTACACAGGAGCCATAAGTAGGATTGAGGTCCAGAGCAGCCTGGGCATAAATGAAAGACCCTGTTTGAAAAATAACTGAACCAAAGTGGATGAGCTCCGACCTAGCAAGCATGAATCTGAGTACAAACTCCAACACCAATAACAGCAAAAAATCAGTTATTTCTGTCTACACTGAACCTGAATGCTTTTTCCTCGTCAGTAATTGGTTAGATCTGAGTAGCAGCTTACTTTTTTTGAAGTGCCATACCATCCACTTTCCCTTACAAAATGCTAACCTGTTTCATTTAGTTACAAAAACTTTTCTGATTCCCATAGGTAAAGGTTATACTTAAAATATTTAACCACCAATTTGGCGTGGTCACTGACCATTCAGAATGCACACTGCCATAAATAACCCAGTGTTTGCACTTTCCTACTTAACCCATTCCTTTTAGGAAGTAGCATTTGTATTCACTAGGAGTTGTGTTAAGCATTTTATGTATGTTACCTAATGTCATTCCTATTAATTTAAATATTATCTTCTGTAGTTATTCTGAGATTACCAAATATTTCTTTTATCAATAGTTTGATTTTTATTTATTTATTTTTTGGCTATACTGGGTGTTGAACTCACAACCTTGCATTTGCTAGACAGATGCTCTACCTCTTTTTGCATTGGTTATTGTTGAGATAGGAACTTGCCTCATAGCCATGCTGGACTGAACTGTGATGCTCCTATTTGTACTTCCTCCTTAGTAGCTGGGATGACAGGCACATGCCACCATGCATAGCCTGTTCTGTTTAGAGGGAGTCTTGTAAACTTTTTGCCCAGGCTGACCTGGAGCTGCAATCCTCAGCCTCCAGCATAGCTGGGATGACAGGCAGGCAGCATTGATGGTGCACAAATTTAGCTCTGCTAGAAGTTCTCTCTTGTATTACATCATTCCTTCAGTGTCATATTTCTTGGTCGTAAGCTGATAAGAGGTCCAATAGAAAAAGTCTTATGTATGACTTTGATACCAGTAAATAATTTAATCTACCTCCTTGAAAAAGAAATATAGAAGGTGCATGGCAGAGTACAAATTGCATATAGTCCACTCATCAAAACTAATATAAAAAAGTCTATCATCATCATAAAGAAATGACAGATTCATTCACATAAAAATTGTACAGGGTATAGTGTCTTTTATGTTTTGTTTTTTTTTTTCAAATGAGTGTGCTAATTTCTACATGTCTATTCTCACTCTCTTTTCTCTTTCCTGACTCTCCAGTGGATGTGAAGTCAGAGGTTCCCGTGGGCCTGGAGCCCATCTCACCTTTAGACCTAAGGACAGACCTCAGGATGATGATGCCTGTGGTGGACCCTGTGGTTCGTGAGAAACAACTGCAGCAAGAGTTACTTCTTATTCAGCAGCAGCAACAAATCCAGAAGCAGCTCCTGATAGCAGAATTTCAGAAACAGCATGAGAACTTGACCCGGCAGCACCAGGCTCAGCTTCAGGAGCACATTAAGGTAGCAGATGTCTTTGTGTTGACCTTCTCAGACAGGGTGTATGCACCATAACATGGGGATAGGAATTACCGTGCACATACTGAGGGGGACACTTCACTGTGAAGACATGACCTGTCACTTGAAGGAAATGGTGTCTCTATCTTGGGTGAATTCTTGCTACAAACCCACTGTGTTCCTTGGAGAGGCCTTACCACGCTTACCTTTTAGCTTATAGAGTCACTGCTAGGGAACAGTCACTTCCCACTCTCGTTTAAATTCTGTCTAATGTGTTCATTTCTCCCATGTACTCACCACCAAAAAGAACCAGGAGCATAGAAAGACATACTGTATATTTCTAAAGCACCTACATGGACTATTTATCAGAGAGGATAATCAGTCATCTTATGTGAACAGAGAAAGCCTTTTGTTTTTTGTTTTTGTTTTTAATCTTTGGTCAACTAGTAGATATTCTGAATATGTCCTAAGCTTCCTTACAGGAAAGAATTCTTAGCATGTATATTCAAAATAAAATAGCAAAATAAAACCTCAAGGGAGTTTTATATGGAGAAACTGGTGCTAATATATCAATGCTTTCATAGACTTAGATAAGAAATTGTTAAAAGGAATTGAGAATAGTTGAAATTTTGAGACTTGAGTTGTGTTGCTTATACCAAAAGAAATGTATTTATAGTCCCAAATTACTAAATGATGCCTTATATTGTTATCAGATTATTTTATATGTGCCTGTATATTCTATTTTATATACTCACAGAGAAATATTGCTTTACCTTTATTTGTAAATTGTTTCGACAATGTAACAAAGACATTTAAACACAACGATCTTTTAGTTTGATTAAGAAGATATTTAATTGAATGTATTATGATAGCAATACAAAGAGATCACGTCTTTAAAATAAAATTTTATTCTTATAGCCAACTCCTTCAAAGATTATTTAAATATATGATGATCTATTCATATAATAAATTATGGATTATATTATATCATGTTTTATTAGGCTTCCTTCTAGGTATTTAATCTATCACTTCATATCAAATACAAGCTCATGGATGTGGAGCTAATACATAACCAAGCTTTGCTAATATTATATAATTTTATTACATTATACTACAATGTCTGAGAAGATGAAACTGCTATCTTGTTCACTATGTTCCTTGTCTTACAAAATATTTTCTTAGCTATTGAAGGCCTATAGTATCTTATTTGCTTATAAATAATCAACACCTGATACAAAATATAATTTTCTTCTTTTATTAGTAAACTTTCCTAAAAGAATTTATATAATATTGATCTATAAGATAATCTTAAAAATAAGAGTAAGTATTTTCTTTTGGGTCACTTGTGAAATCAATAACACTTAATTTTGAATGAATGCTAAAACCTATTCAAATTTGATTTTTGAAACAATAATAGGAACACTGATGTCTAGATCTCTTTCTTCAGTCTCTCCAGGCATGATAGGATGGTAGTGATGCATAAGAAAAAATTATATTCTTCACCATACTTTATTACCATTATTAGTTGCTTGTCTTTGGATGTCTTCTTATCATTTATGTTTGGTGCCTTTCATGTCTATTAGATTAATGTAAATTATGAGTAATTTATTATTTGCTTGTGTTCAAAAGCTAGTAGTAATAAGTAGGTAATTGCTTTTGTGTCACAAACAAAATGACACAGCAGGTTTATTGACATCTGGAAAATATTGGAAAAGAGGATCTTAAGAGAACAAGGATTATGAGATAGCTAAAAGGAAAACTTAGGTCTTAAAATGACTTTTCGAAGAAAGTTATTGCTTTCAGAAAGAGAAGACATACTTTTAATATTAGAAAGTTATTTCTTTTTGAAGTTTTTATTTTATTTGTTTTGTTGCTTTATTATGGGCAAGGCTAAAAGTCGATGCTTTTAACATTCATTTAGATTTTATGCATATGAGGAAGACAAGGTGAATGATACTTCCGATTATATTAGCTTTTGACTCTTGGCGCTGTAATAATTAACAGCTGTTGCGTTCGATGCTGTTATCCCAGTTTTCGACCCAGTAAACTAAGGCAGACAGAAAGAATGTAACTTTCTAAAGCTACACAGCCAGTCAGTAGTTACTCCAAGATTTCAAGATTTCTTTTCTTGCCTTATCTTCTCCAAAGCTCCCAAATCACCCTGTCTTGCTCCAGGGCTGAACATCTGGAAACAGAAGGGTGAAGTTCTGTTTCTTTCTATTTTTAAAAACCTTGTTCCTGCACGCTTTACAATCTGTAGTAACTATGGCTATTAGTTTGTGTGCTTTTCTAGATTCTTAAAGCTTAGTTGTACTGGGGCGTGGTGAAGCCCCAGTGCCTGTATACATTAAAACAGAGTTAAGCAGCGTTAAGCACTTTTTTTCTTTTTACAGTACTAGGGGTTGAACCCAGAGCCTGTACATGCTAGGCAAGAGCTCCACTGCTTGAGCTATGCCACACCCCCATCTCCTGTCTTTTTTCTTTTTTTTTTTAAGATATGGTCTTGTTAACTTTGTACAGGAGGGCCTTAAACTTATAATCCTATTGCCTCTTCCTCCTGAATAGCTGGAATTATAGACCTGTGCCACCACAACCACCCCCCGAGTTATGAATTCCTAAGCAACACTGGAACATCTAAAAACATCCACTAAGGTTTTAGCATCAAGCCAAAATACCAACATTTTAATATAGAGAATAACCAAAAGTTCTTATAACCAGATCCTTTGGGACTAGTAAAAATACCATGGTTGACATACAGAGTTGTCTTCCTGTTGCTCCAGAGTGAGCCTGAAGTCATTCTGTATAGCTTTTTATTTTTGTTCTATTACATTTTGGTATAAAATTCAGAGTTTTAGGTGCCTATCCAATATTAAAAAAAACTTGTTCATTAGTATTAAAAGTTACAAATGGTAATAATCAAGATTTGTATGTTTCAAATCTAAAAAAAGTAAACTTTATATGTATTAGGAGTGTTATATGTGAGGGAGATTATTCTCTACCTTACATATGATGAACCAAGGGTCTGAACATTTTAGCAACCTGTCTAGGTCTCATCCACACTAATGTCAGAGGCTCAATAAAACTCAGAAGTCTTTAGTTATTCTTCAGTGAGCACAATTATGTTCTTCATAGGTGTATTTCTCAGTCTGAAAGCAAACTGACATCTCAATATGGTTGTTCAGAATGAATGAATGTCTCAGGCTGGCAGAAATGGCTCAAATGGTAGAGCACTTGCCTGGCCCTGAGTTCAATCCCTGGTACTGCAAAAAAAAAAAAAAACGCCTCATCTATTCATGTTATTCATCATTTGGAAGTGAATTCATGGGATTCAGAAAGCCACATGGTGTTACATTAGAGTGTAGGTGTTTAGGTTTACCTAAGTGATTTCATTTAGACCAATGTCTCTAATCTAAAACTTTCCATGTGCTAGATGAAAGATTAAATTCTTTGGCTATTTTGAAAGTAGAATTTATTACTGATACCTAAATTTTCTTAGTCTACTGAGAATTTTCTCTTAAGGCTTTGAAATTTTTAGTCTTCATTCTATTTCAGGTAGACTTCCCCAAAATTAACTCACATCTCATCATTGTATTCACTGTGACTATTTTTACACAATTTCTCAGGGTAAGAACTGAAGATTTCAGTGGTTTATTTATAAAGTGAGAGACTTTGTAAAATATACTTCTGGGCAGTCCCTGCCTTTGTTTTTTCATAGATTTCATATGCATAAAGGAAAGTTACTAAGAAAATAAAGATTTGATAAACAGAAACTGAAGATTTAATTGAGAAAGTAAATATTTAATCAACCTGAAGGGATTTGGTAGTTATTTTTGATAGGGAGGTACAAGTAATGGAGTTACCTAAAAACTTGTTTGCTGGTGATCTTAAGACCATCATGACATTGGTTGCTTGTCTTCAGATTTCAACAATTTTTTTTTTAAAGAGCGGGTAAAAATATAAATGAAATACAAACAAGTTACAAAAGCCCCTAACATTTCAATTTCGGGCAGTCAATGATGACTATGAAGCTTAAAGAAATTGCACACTCTCATGTCTTTCTCTTCTCGCAAGTTGCAACAGGAACTTCTAGCCATAAAACAACAGCAAGAACTCCTAGAAAAGGAGCAGAAACTGGAGCAGCAGAGGCAAGAACAGGAAGTAGAGAGGCATCGCCGAGAACAGCAACTTCCTCCTCTCAGAGGCAAAGATAGAGGACGAGAAAGTAAGGGCACCAGGGTAAAAGACGGACTCTCTTCCCTCATCTTTAGCTGATCATTATTCAGAAGGAAGCCTGATAAAGAGTGGAATTAAACTTGTCGAAACTACCTGTGTTTAATTAACATAATAAATATGGACTCAAATGTAAAGCTCTGATAATTTGCCTACCGGCTCTTTATTCAGTCTGCAGAGCACCACGAATAACATTGGCAATGCTGTGAATTTCTGTTGTTTTTTTTTTACTTTAAAAAATAATGTCATACGAACATAATCTCATGTAAGATACCTTGCTTAATAATAAAGTTATGTCCACATCTCCTTACTCTGCCTGCCTTCCTCCTATCCAAGTAATAATTGCTCTGTAAGTCACATCTTACCTCCACTTAGAGTTTCCGCATACTCGAACTTTGAGAAGATTTTAGGCAGAACACTTGCATAAGAACCATCCACAAGAGGGAGACAGACCCAAATAATTCCTCTGTATTAGGTCAGTTCAAACTCAGGTCGTCTCAAGGTTTAAAATTTGATGACTTGAACTGAAATTGTCAGCAATACTTATTTGTTTAATGCTCACAGGGCTTTTAAAAAAAGTTAAGTTTTTCAGCCTAGACACTGAGAAAAGATCATTTAAATGTATTTAAGGGATCTGAAAAAATTGCCCAAGATTCCTGACTTTTTTTTGTGTGTTCCTCAGCACTGTTTTTTAAACTTAAAAATGTTAATATTAATTCTAGGAATCCCCTTTCTGCAAAAGAAATTTTAGTAACTCATTGAAGGTCTTTTGAAAATTGGAAGTTTAAGTAACAGTGGTAAAGCATCACCATGCCATTTTCAAAGGCCTTTTTAGACTCTGGTTTCTTTTTTTAATAGAAAACCTTAGTATGCAGTGACCAGTGATGCTTGTTCTTAGTCTGTGTTAAATATTTCAAGTCATGAGAGGACAGAAGTCACAATCAACATCTGTTTCTATGTGTGTTTCAGGGGCAGTGGCAAGTACAGAAGTAAAGCAGAAGCTTCAAGAATTCCTGTTGAGTAAATCAGCAACAAAAGACACTCCAACTAATGGAAAAAATCATTCCGTGAGCCGTCATCCCAAGCTCTGGTACACGTATGTTTGGTGTTTGGCTGTTTTCATTCCCAGGGGTAAAGAGCACAGGTTCTGTTATTTAGCCGATCTGGGCTTAAATCCTGGACTTGCCATTTCTCAGCTGTGTGGCTGTTGGCAAGTTCCTTGAATTCTCTATTGGATCAGTTTCTTTCTCCACAAAGAGGATAATAATGATACCTGTCTTCTAGGGTTGCTGGGACGATCCTATGGGAAAAAAAAATGACAATGTACCTAGCAGAGAGCACTGCTTAATAAATATTAGCATTGATCAACTTGAGGGTAGGGACATAGATATATCTATATATCTATATCTATATATGTGTATGTTGTTTGTTGAACTGGCAAGAGGGGAGGCATAGAAATTTAATTTGTATTTTGCATTTTTCTATTTTCAGATGGTACATCTGATATCTATACATAATTTCTGAAAATTTAACAGATTGTGACTATTTTATTTTGCTTGGTTTAATGCAAAATGGAAAGTCAGAGCTATTTTGAGAAGTTCAGATGATTCTTGGCTTAAATAAAATGAAGGAAGGAGACTAAGAAAGGGAAGCGTAGGGAAGAAAAGAGAAGGAAGGTAGCTAAATAAATAAATCTAAGTCAGTTGTGAATAGTTTACTATAGTGTACCCACTACATCTCATTTCTTCCCACCCAGTAAAAGATCATTTGGCTCCTGACACACAAACTTACAACATAATACACTGTGCTATTACAGATTTTGTGGAACTATATTTCCCCAAGTCCAATAAAGAGATGCAATATATAATTCTTCTTTCTATAAAATATGAAAGATGTGGTACTTTTTTAAAATAAGAGCAGAGAACTGACAGGCAAATCATATTTAGACAATAGCCAACAGATAATGGCTTCATTTCTCTCGTAAATGTGTTTGCTGAATGATCATAAAATTTTACACTAACATATTTTTCAATTCCTCCCATCATCTAGGATAAGAAGTTAGTCCTTAATTGTTCTGTTTTATTGAAAGCTTTCCGGGAGTTTTAAAAAAAGAGTTATTGTACTGATAAGTCTATTTTATAGGCATCTGATCCTCTCTGCATCTATAAAAATGATAGCAGGCAGATTCCAGAATGTTTTATATAACTTCTGTCCTTCATGGAAAGAAACCAATCACTGAAGATTTTCAATGTTTAATCTATATCACAAAACATTTTAAAAGAAATATAATTTTGTTTCCTGTAATTATGCTCATTTTATATAACTGATTCATAATTCCTTCAGAATGAAAGCACGTTTTTAAGAAGATAATAGTTTGTAATGAGAACAAGTACATGCAAATAATTTTTCAGCTGAAAATTCTTTAGCTGTTCTCTTGAGTCTACTAAACATGGCTCACACATTTCATTTAATGATTCTTGTTTGTGTGGAATTGAACTTCAGTGGGACCCAGTTCCAGATAACCACAAAGCAGTAATTTATGGAATCTCAATTTAATATTACTTTTACCAGTTATGGGTACATCAAACATGTTTAAACCGGTTAATTCTTGAGAATTCATCATTCAAATAAATAAACTGGGAGAACAAAAATAGTGATGGTTATACTATGCCCTGTATATTGTTTTCATTATATAGAAAAATCTTGATATTTATAATCACTGGGTATTCTGTGTTTAGTCCTACAACCTATTATCCAGTAGCAAAACTTTATCTTTCTGATTTGTAATAGTCACCCAGGAAGGAAAAATATTTTTAAAAATAAGTTTCATGTTGATGAAGAGTGTGATTTCTCTTCCACAACTTCAGAACTCCTATGTGAATCAGGAGACCTGGAGACCTGAGACTGTTGGCTCAGTGCTGTGTTTTCAGTAAAAAGGCCACCTTCCTACACTTGGCTGTGCTACACAGCAGTAATGAAGTCTTTGTACATGTTTACTTTCACCTGGATTGTTCTACCTTGCTAACTGAAAAGGATCCAGATAATGACTTTCACAAATTCACTATTAAGAAGTCATACACAATAATCTTGGATTATCAAAACTCAGATAAATTCTCACTTTCAGTGAAGAAAATTTTCTTTGTGACTGTCTGACCAGACACACAGTGGGCCTTCTTAGGAATCCTGCATCATTTCATGACATCCTCCCACAGTGAACTTGGTTACATGAGGCTGTGGTTTGTATACACTAAGAAGAAAGAACATAAACACAGCTGAGGCACGTGTGCAGCATGTGCAACTGATTATTGCTGACCAACATGCAGGAAAACTCCAGTGTCAATGCAGAACCTTTTTTGTCTTTTGTAGGGCTGCCCACCACACATCATTGGATCAAAGCTCTCCACCTCTTAGTGGAACATCTCCATCCTACAAATACACACTACCAGGAGCCCAGGATGCCAAGGATGATTTCCCACTTCGAAAAACTGGTAAGTTAGTTTAGCAAGAACCCCATTTGCTCTTCCAAAGCAAACCTATAGTGTCATTTTGTCCACCTTTAGATGAAAATCACAGGATTTGAATTATAGATAGCATTTAAAAATTCTCCATATTCAGACTTTAAAAACTTGCCCACAAACCTGCAAACACACACATACATATACTCCTTATTTCTATACTAGTTGATTCACTAGATAAAGTAGGTTTTTAAAATTTAAGCTTTTGTCATATTTGGTTTTTAGTCAAATTTATTTTCCTACTAGGAATAAAGGGTAGAATAAGAGGAAATTAATATTTAATTCCTCAGAAAATTTAACTTTTGTTCTTCAGTCAGAGTCTTATCTCATCCATATTCTGTTTTCCTTGTGGGTTTCAATCATTCACTATAAAAATGGGTAGAATAAATATTTTTGCCTGGCAAATATTTCTAAATTTTAAATTCTAATTATTTGTGTGGCAAAAATAGATTAGATGAAGACTACCTTCTGAGTAAGTAACTTGCCTAATGTTTCACAGACTACTGAGCTCAGAATGAAAACTTGTCCCTAATAATCTCAAATAGTTATATTGAAACTTGCTTAGGGAAACTAGGACAGCAAAGCTTCTATTTGAAATTTAATAAAAATTCCTGTAGCGCTAAGGTCTGTATTTGCTTTCTCATCTTTTTCTCCTTTAAACATTACATGGACACATGAACATCACTTGTGTACATTGTATTCTGAATCTTTTTTATGTTCACCAAATACAGTTCTTTATACATAGTTATCCACTTCAAAATTTTATATTCACAACTGATTTGGAAAGGTATTCATAGAAGATAGTTTAGTCTATTGTATTTTATCAGGTCTACTTGAAGAAGTATAATCTCTGTAATTTGTATATAAAATCTAGAGTGCTAATGACTTCAAATAATTATATTCATTTTCCCAAGCAATTTTGAGTAACTAAAATGGATATAGATTGTAAAAACACATGCTGAAGCTATTTTCTGTCATGTAATTTACCTGCACATAATGAAGACTTAAAAATAAAATTGATCATGAATAAGAATATATTATTCACCATCTAGCTCATATTGTACCAAGGTACTGGGAAAGCATGGTCAAGTATCACAAAACAATCTGAGCCTCTTTATTTTTATTGTCTAAAGATTTTATGTGGGAGTAGACCCCCCCACCCCCGTGCAAAGGCAAGAATTACTGCATTTTAAATGTATTGCATCAGAATTTCACACAATTATCTGCAAATCATGTGTCTTTCTTATAAATAAACTTCTCTGGGATAAAAGGAAGCAAACAATGTGTGAGCCTCTATGTATTTCTAAAACATGGCATATGGTTTATGAAAATTGATCCATAAAGGACATGAGTTTAGAATGTGAAGACTTTGACCTACAGTCTTGACATTTAGTTATACCTATGGCTTGTGTAGGAACTATTGACAGAGATTATGTGAATATTGCTCCAGGTCTCAGGACAGTGATTGGCATGCAAAAGCCCAAGGAGTCACTAAATGGAAAGAAAATACTGAGTTTCCTTATGGCAGAAGGTTACTGATGAGTGATACAGTTACATTCACAGGGAACGACTTCAGTCCTGCTGAGCACACAGCCTTTGAATATATTCTTACCACTGAGAGATTGAAAACTGACTGCAGATCTGACACTGTCTTTGAAAAAGAAGTGGCATTTGGGACCCTGAGCATCCAGAAAGAAAATCTAATCTTTTTCAAAACTTAGGGATACGTACTAAAACCCAATACTTTGCATCCCACTGTTTCCATGAGAACAGCTTAGGGTTTTTTCCTCTGTAAAGAATGAAAAGCAAGCTGTTAATTTATTCTCATTGAAATTCTGAATCCAAAACAAAACCCAAAGACAAATCTTGCTCAAGATATATGTTACACACCCTCATCCAAATCTGTGCAACTATGCAAAACATTTTCTATGCCTGTTTATGTGACATATAATTATAGCAAAAGCCCCTGGAATTTTCTAGTGGTATATTTTCTGTATTTGCCCAGTTTTTTATGTTTTTTTCCTTTTATATTAAAAATCTGATATTTATGAAGTGTCAAGCTATTGATCTGTAAAGCCAAACATTTTCAAGCATTGTAACAATAAACTTCTTGAACAGCCGTTAATACTTTAATATCTCTGTAGGGCTTTCAAAATATTCCTAATTTAATTGCCATTGTCTGTTTAAGAAAAAAGTACGATATAATTAACTACAGATGTTTTCTACATGCTATCTAAATTACTTAGAGATACTGTTCACTAATTGCAAATAGGCAGAACTCTTCCAATACTTAGAAATAAAATGCATTTGGAATACTGCCAATTTTAATTGTGAGAAAATTTAGACATATATTTGTACTCAGTAGAAGAGCATTGAAATATTGTCAACTAATAATTTTTACTTCAGAATTCATTGTATTTCATCAACTCAAAAGTCATTACAAAAAAGTAAACAATTAAATTTTACCATAATAGACCATATGTGGTGACTGGGGAAACTGTTGCTTTCGTGAAAAGTTACATCATATTCATTTGAATCTAGAGTAGTGTCATAGATCATGTAGCAAAAATACCTGGACCCCTATTTTAGAGTTATGCTTAATCTGGTTTAAAGCCAGGTTATCAACCTCTGTTGACAACTTGAATTTCATTGAACTCAATTTTTGACTTTAAAGAAATTGTTCAATGAGTGGACTCTATCTTTGAATCTGTATATAATACTACATACTTCTAATTTCTTTTAAATCAGCATCAGTTCTGAATTACCAATCTGTCTCAGCAGGATTTGAGATACTAAAACTGGAACCAGAGTTAAGAAAATTTCTAATGACCTTAAATAGATTAAGGTGGCCCCGGGGTGTCCCTTAAGCAGTAATCACAATTTGGAACCTCTCTTGACCTTTTAGGAACCTCCACCCCAGACAGTGACAACCCAGGAACAGTCAACTATAGAAGTCTTATTTGCCTGCAGAAATAGGACCTTTGTCACACAAAGCGGACCTTTACTCCCTTACCCATAGGAGAATCATTGTTGCCTCTGGAATCTGCGCATTTTGGAAACATCAGAATAGTACTAGTAGTTGGCTCTAATCAGTCCTACTCACAGTTCACTTGACTTTTAAATGTGGGGATTGTGTGTTTTTTGTTCTTTTCACAATGAACATCAAAACCTTTTTATAATTGGTTTGAAGTTAAGAGTAACAGAATTGTTTTTAATTTTTGTATTTTTGCCCATACTTGCAGTACTACTTCCTTCTAGAATTACACTCCATGATTCCTATTGTTCCATAATAAAAAGAAGAATTTATTAATAGGGAAATTTGGGTTATTTTATTGAATTTTACATTTTGGCTAAAAATAGTAAAATCATAAATGATTTTTCCCCCTCTTATAGTACAGTGATAGATTGGTGATAAAGTAGGGGAAGGAAGCTTCTGGGTACAAGCAATTTTGAAATAATACACATTTCTCACAGAGACACTGCATCTGTGGTAACTTTGAACTGACCTTCAAAACTATTTAATTTGGATTTTGTTCCAGTGAGTATGTGCATATGTTTCATAAAATATTATGGTAAAAATTTCTAGAGGTTTTATGCTCCATTATATTATCAAGGTCTTACCCAGTGAACTTTGCCTTTCTTTGAATATTATAATCTTTCCATTTAATACTTCTGAACAAAGAGAGCTGGCTGGGTAGATTAACCTCTTAAAGTGCAAAAGCCATATAAAGTTTGGCTTGGGCTAATAAGATTGTTCCAGCCCTACTGAAATATTCATTTTAATGGTCAGCAACACTAGAGTAAGACTCAAAGATGGAATTAGTCCAAACATAAGTTAAGGTTTTGGAAGGCCAATGGCATTTTCCACATTGAGTAAATTGGAAAGGAGGCAGAGATGAGATATATAGCTTTATAAATCTCCCTTCGGCATAGCACTCAGCAGTTATGTTGTAGTACCTTGGTGACCTATTCAAGTTATTATAACCTAAAATTAACACAAGGAGGTTTTTTAAATGCCTTAAAAACCTTTCTCTGTTGTTCTCCTTCTCCTTCTTCTTACTCTTTTTCCTCTCCTTCCTCTTCTTTCTCTTCCTCCTTCCTCCTCCTTCTCTTTTACCCTTTTCTCCTCTTCTTTTGCATCTCTTCTCCTCCTCCTCTTCCTCCTTATTCTTCTCCTCCTTCCTTTTCCTCTTCTTTCTGCTTTTTGTCCTTCTCTCTTTTTTCTCTGTCCTTTTTCTTCTCAATCTCTTCCCCTTCTCCTCTCTCTTTTCACCCAACTATCTTCTTCTCCTTCTCTTTCTTGAGTCTGTATTTCTCACAGTACACAAACACATTTGTATGCACATGTGTTTGTATGCACACATGAACTTGCACACAGTTCTGCTTTGCACTTAGTAGCACTTATTCTTATAAAAATACTTGTTCATGAGCTTATCTCAGTTTGATAAACACTGGAGCATTTTCATATTTTTTAGGACTTTTAACTTAGTCACATTGTTGTGACAAACCTTGCTTAAAATGCCAAAACCTTACTTTTGGACCTCCAGCATCCAGAATCATGAGCCAATAAAGTTCTATTCTTTACAAAACAAAACAAAACAAAAAACTATTGAAATGTATTCCTCATGATAACAATTATATAAATTTTCCCCAAATTGAGATGCAATGTGGTACCAACACAGACTTCAGGTATTCACATACCAGATTGAATTCTGGTTTCTTGACTTGGATAATATAAATTAGGATCTAGGCTGTGATTCCCTCATCTGTGAGGTAGGGATAATGATTACACTTGGTTCACACAGTTAGATTGTGATTCAAAGACACAATGCATGTCAAGCACTGAGATTCATGTCTAGCACTTAAGGAGTGCTTAATCATGATTTTATATGGTAGTTGCTAAGGAATTATGTTTCATTTGTTTTTCACTCAGAACTAAATCTCTATGTTGTGGAAGATCATTTTAAGGTCTG